GCCGCCGTCGGGGCGCGGCCTGCGCGGCGGGGCACGCGGCGGCGCCATGGCGGACTACCTCATCAGCGGCGGCACGGGCTACGTGCCCGACGACGGGCTCACGGCGCAGCAGCTCTTCAGCTGCGGCGACGGGCTCACCTACAAGTGAGGGCCGGGGCGGGGGAGGGCCGCACGGGGCCGGCCGCGGGCGCCACGGCGGCGCCGCTGACTTCTCCCTCCCCGCAGCGACTTCCTCATCCTGCCGGGCTACATCGACTTCACGGCGGACCAGGTGGTGAGTGCGGGGGGCTGGGGGGCGCCGGGCGGCCGGGGCGCCGCTCACGGCCGCCGCCGCCCGCCAGGACCTCACCTCGGCGCTCACCAAGCGCATCACGCTCAAGACGCCGCTCGTCTCCTCGCCCATGGACACGGTCACCGAGGCCGGCATGGCCATCGCCATGGCGGTGAGTTGGGGCCTCCCGCGCCGCTCAGCCCGCTGTGCGCGCGGGGGTGAGGAGCTGCGCCCTGCTTGTCCCTGCCGCGCTCCGCACGGCGCCAGCCTGAGGGCCGAGCCCCCAGCGGGCTCCGCTGCGGCCTGCCCAGCGCCCTCGCGCGCCTCTCCGTTAAGGAGCCGTCTCTCTCGGAGCCTCTCACGGCCTCCTTTGCCTCGGCAGCTCACAGGGGGGATCGGCTTCATCCATCACAACTGCACGCCGGAGTTCCAGGCCAACGAAGTGCGGAAGGTGAAGGTACGGGAGCCGCGCGGCCCCTCCGGAGACGCCCTGGGGTCAGCGGTGCCCGTAGGGGAGCCCGGTGCCGCCTGCAGGTCCCGGGGCCTCGCGGCGGCTGCCCACGCAAATCCCCTGGATGGCAGGTGCTGTCCTACACACACGGGGGCACTGGGACTGTGGCCAGGCCCCAGCAGTGGGAAAACATCAAATAGCTATAGCTATATCTTTATCTATCTATCTATATATATATATATGGGGAAATATTCCTCCTAAAGGAGGTTAATCCGGGCATAACCAGGAACCGAATCCTACCTGAGCAAGCGCGGCTGCTGCTTTGTGAGTCCTCCTGGTGCTCACCCTGTGAGCAGAGCAGTTGCCGCATGGTGGCCACACGGTCACAGGCCGGCTCAGCGTGGCCCTGCTGCTCATTGTCTGCTGGATCCATCCCTTTGCAGAAATACGAGCAGGGATTCATCACGGACCCCGTGGTGCTGAGCCCCAACGACAGAGTGCGGGACGTGTTTGAAGCGAAGGCGCGGCACGGCTTCTGCGGCATCCCCATCACGGACAACGGGAAGATGGGCGGGAAGCTGGTCGGGATCATCTCGTCGCGCGATATCGACTTCCTGAAGGAGTCAGAGCACGACCTGCCCCTTGGAGAGGTGAGAAGGGCCTGCGAGCAGCTGTGAGCTGGATGTGAGCGCTGAACGGCCTGCCACAGGGAAGGGAGTGACGCGTGGCTGCGGGGGACGGTGCGGCTGGGGGTGGCCGGCGCCGCGCCAGCTCGCTGCGCTGCTCTGTTTTGGTGCCGGGGCTGCAGGGTTCTCTCCGTGAGCCTCGCAAAGGGCTTGCGGGTGGAAGAAGGGCTGTGCAGTCGGTGCACGCGCGTGGCCGTGGGGTTTTCTCTCAGCACTGTGGGAGTCTCTCCAGGCTGGGGTGGTCCCTCGTCTACTTCCATAGCTCCTTCCTGCTATTCCTGGCTGCTGCTGTTGTCCTGGTTTGGGTCCACCCTATAGAGCAGGCCCTGCGTGTGCTGGTCTTTCTTGCCTGGGCAGCCTTTCCCTTCTTGCCGCGTCTAGGCTATTCACACTTTAAAATAATTTCCTGAGAGAGGTAAGCCTTTGTAATGCGAGAGAAATACCCGTTTTCAGAACTGTTCTCTCCTGTGCAGGTGTTGATTTCTGTTGCTTTTGGTATTGGTGTTACATGAAACCGTAGCTGCGCGGGATTGTCAGGTTACGCTGCCGGTGCCTCCCCGGCAGCCTCTGCTCTTGGCCCAGGACTATATTTAGCTCTTGCTGCCCAGACCTGCTATCACATGCTCATCCCGCTTGCTTTGAAATCACCTATAAATATCCCTAACAGCAGCCTTAAAACACGGCTGGTTTTAGAAGTGCTCATGGCCCTAGAGACACTGCCCCGTTGAGAAGAGCCGGGTAGAGCCTTGTCCCATCCAGTGGCTGGGGCGCGCGGCAGTGCGGAGCTGGGAGCTCGCCTGCGTTGCACTTCGATGCTCCCCTCTGCCACGGGGCCGAGCTGGGGACAGGGGTGTCTCGTAGCTCCCTTGGTGCCCAGGCCAGCAGTGAACTTGCCCACCGGCTCATTGCCATCCTGTTAAATGTGGAGGTTTCCTGTGGCTCAGGAGCCTCCTGGACACAGGGAATGTGTCAGGATATTCCTGGGGCTTCTCAGGCTCTTCCCGGGATGTGGGTTTTGTCAGGACTGTAAGGCTGGGTGAACCTCTTCTCTGCTGCTGTTCTTGGGGTGCAAATAACTGAAATGTTCCCTTTTGTGTGTGGCTCCTCTGTCTTCCTCGGAGGTTTAACAGGGTTCCCATTTAACCTTTTATGAAAATGTCTGTGTGAAACGTGTCTGTTTGTGGAATGTCTAGCTGGGAAGAAAGGCTCTCCGGAGGTCTCCAGCCTGCTGCTCAAAGCAGGTTCCTCTGGAGCAGGTTCCCTGGGTTGTGTCTGGTTGAGGTTCCAGTGTCTCCAGGGAGGGAACTTTTCCCCTCCTCTCTGGGCCTCGGTTCCAGTGCTTGCCCACCCTCTTGGCAAGCGCTTGGGCTGCTTACA